CCCAGAATCTGAGCGAATGGAGTGTCATACAGTCGCCCAGAACTGTTACTCTATTCTCGCCCGATCCTTCAAGTCGCCCAAGGTCTTAACAAACATAAAGCGTCGTGGTTATCAAGAAGTGCAGTTATCAAAGCAATTATTAAAGCAGCCCTATCACGTTCCACGATTCAAGGAATTCAATCGAAAGCGGTTGAACGATGAAGAGTAATGACAGCAGTTAAAAAATGCAGTTTTCATGACAAGTTGGCCATTACGAAGAAAGTGGGCAGTTATAGGACGATCAAGCAGTTTTTAGAGCGGTTGATGACAAAGAGATCGTCCATGAAGTATAAAAGGGAGAAAAGACATAGAAGCGAAAGACCGAATCAAAAACTCTCGAACAGAGAACATGTAATTTTCATTTCCTTAACTTAGACTTAAACACTTTTCTTTCAGTAACTCGTGTGCTTGCGTCCCTTGGAGACACATTGTTTTTAATTTCCAATTGTAAAGTCATCGCCAATAAAAGAACACCCATTTTTGGGACTTTGTCTCAAGAGGTTTGTCCCTTACACAATCGCCTGATCCTTTTCAATTGTTAGCGACTAACCCGCGTGAAACAAATGGTTATTCTTTTTTGATTTTAACACGGGAATGAACATCGGTTATGAACATTTGATGCTTAAAGATTCGATCATTTTGTTCAATTTCATCATTCTTTAAGATTGTCATTCACGTCTACGATTTGTTAAACCAATTGAACCGGAGATCAGATATCATTTTCTTTTGTTAGCTTTGTAAGCAAACTGATAATCAAATTCAATATGGTAGATTACTTTTAATCTTAAATGTAGTTTGATACGTGGATATTCAAGTTCCTCTTTGCTTGTGTCAACTTGTTGATAGTAGTTGCATTGATCAGTCGATTGATGTCTCTTTTCAACTAACTCTACTACTCTCTCTGCCGTAGGACCTCCTATTCAGAAATTTGGCATACTTATTTGACAAATAATTGTAACCTTTATCTGAAGTCAATCCAACTTTCAATATGTATTTTACTAAGCCCCCGTTAAATTATATTTTATTTTTCTCTCTCCTATTTTCAACTACACAATCTTCCCTAAAATAATATTACATGTAAACCGAAAACTTTTCTTTCTTTTTCAACCACTCATTTTTCAAAAAAACACTATGCTGAGAAAAATGTAGGAAAATATGAAAATTTAATGAACTCCAAGGTACGAAAAAAAAGGTTATCATTTAAGAGATGTTTCTCCCCTATCCAATGAAGTCACGACTGGGATATGATAGAAAATCTCTCCCAGAATATAATGGAGGCATTTGATTCAAATTGTGACTATTTGATCAAACCAAGAAGACACTCGAAAAAAAACTGATGATGCCAAAAGAAAGAGAGAAGAATATTTTTTTTAATGTATTTTGCAAACGAGAATTCGCCCAAAATTTATAGAAATTGAGGCAACCGTTTGAATAGATGTGTCCCTTGAAATGAAGAACACATCTGTTGAAAGCAACTGTCAAAACGAACAGATGCATATATTCAAAAACTTTTGAAAATAAAATTCTCTTTTGGAAACGCCCCCTCGACCCCCGCGACCTGATCGGGCAGGTCGATCCCCATTGCGCAGCGGCAAACACTAGTTGGGGCGGCAAATCATTCGCAAAACCAAAAAAAAAAAAATATATACTTGCAAAATGATGAAAAATATCTAACCCACTATTCCACCCATTTTCATTTTTAAAAAATGGGAGCCAAATGGGGGGCTAAGATCATGGGAGAGTTTGTTATAACTTCTTGAGAGCCGTAAAATATTGAACGTTTGATTGACTTAAAAAGTCACGATTATTTGTCAAATAAGTGTTTCAAATTTAGAGTAGAAGGAACGGTTCTGTTCAAATGGTAAAACATGTTTTACTTATTTTGTGAATGCACTTTAGAACTTTTTATGTTGCTTATTAAACATATAATTTCATGTAATGACGGAAGGCTAAAAAATGTAGAGAACTTCTTTTACTTGTTCTTCGAGATCTTTCAAAGATCATGGTGCAAATGTGAAGGCTGCCTAACTATTATGTTTATTTAAGGTGAAAATGGATGACGAACGTGCTCTATGGATTGGTTAGTCTGCTAACTCTTTTAGATCGTCCTCATTCCACTTCGATTTCTCAGCATTACCAGCAAAACTCTTTCTCTTGAAATTATTTTTGATAACAGATTCATATTTAGCACTGAGGAATAGTAGTGGCAGATATAGCTTACAAGTTCAGAAACTAGACATTTATGTACTTAGTTGGATGGAGGAATTATTTTTGCCTCCATGTCAGAAGCAGTACATGCACACTCTTGGAAGATGTGTATCAAGCGGTAAAGATCTGTGGGTTGCAGTGCAAGAGGGTTCAGTGTCTGATGTTGACTCAATATTGGCATTGATGAAGAAAAATGGGGGAAACATCGATGCAAGGAATTCATTTGGTCTCACACCTCTTCACATTGCGACCTGGAGAAATCACGTACCTATTGTTAGAAGGCTGCTTGTGGCTGGTGCAGACCCGAATGCGAAGGTATGCTAAAACTCTCTGATACTTTTGCTTTTCGACTCTTTTTATTTTGATATTTCCTTCATACCTGGCTGTTTGCCGCGGTTAGTTATCAGATTGTGGGGTTTTCCTCTATCCTTCAGGTGTTGCGCTTGTGATATCATGTTATACTAGGTTTCTTAGTGCATAAATAAGAGTCCCAGTTGATCGTTGAATTTGAATATTTTTCTGCCATTTATCTTGAGAACAATTACTTGAACAAATTAAATCTTATTTTAGTATATAAGAATGTCGGAATTTGAAACATTCTTTGAGTTGTTCTAACAGTGGAAAAGCTTTATCTAGTACAAAGTTGAAGAGAGGCTTAAGAGACACTACTTTAGTCTCTTAGCGGTCTCACTTTACATTACTACTGATTATGACTTAAACTATCAAATAACAGGAAAGCTTCTTATATGATTCTGCTAATTACCTTTTATCTTTGGTTGGAATTTTGTTCGAGAAAAAAGCTAAGAACAAGAAAGAGCATCTGTCTTATTGTTTGTCTTTCTAATTTTCCCAGTAATTGCTATGGCCACCAATTACTGCCTTATTAACACAGTTTATATATTCAAGTTTATCCATGATGATTTCAGGTAATGTGTGCCCATATTCCTAGTAGTTTTTGGTTGTGTTTTCCGTGCTGTTCCTGGATGATTTTGTTAACACTATTATTTTTATTGTATACTGTGAAGAATTCAGCTCCCTCTTTTGGTGGGAGATGACAAGGGCTTTAACTGTCTGTGATGCTTGAAAGTCCTGTTTAGCTTAATGCAGAATATGTTCCATCCTTTCTGAATATCAGTTGATTTTCTTTTTAAGGATGGTGAGTCAGGATGGAGCAGCCTTCACAGAGCAATTCATTTTGGTCATCTTGCAGTTGCTTGTGTCCTCCTTCAGTCTGGTGCTTCTGTCACACTGGAAGACTTGAAATCTAGAACACCAATTGATCTTCTCTCTGGGCCTGTTATACAGGCTGTTGGGAAGGTAATGGGTGATCATTCAGGTATGGATTTTTGTTTAGCTTAGATAACTGAAGTAGTTGAGAGCAGCTTTCAAAACTATATTTCGTTTGTCAGTTGCCACTGTGGTCTTCAGCTGGGGGAGTGGTGTCAATTATCAACTTGGAACTGGGAATGCTCACATTCAGAAGTTACCATGCAAAGTTGATTCACTTCATGGGTCATTCATCAAATTGGTTTCTGCTGCAAAGTTCCACAGTGTGGCTGTTAGTGCACACGGAGAAGTTTAAACCTGGGGATTTGGAAGGGGTGGCCGTCTTGGGCATCCTGACTTTGATATACACAGGTAAAGGACCATTTTCAGCCATTATTGGAAACAAAGATAGTTTAGCTTTAGCCTTGTTTAATGAAGAAAATTTCAGAATTTAGGAACTTGGAACCGACAGTGACTTTGGCTTCTGCTTAATGATTGTGATTACGTTCCTTTCTTTTATTATATCTATTCAGATTTGGCGTTCATTGTCATTCTACTGATTGAACTTCTTAACTAAGTGTATTGGTGTCAATGGACCTGAAAAATAAAAGCTTATATATTTCAGATTTCATTTCGTCTGCTCCACATTTTTGTCTCTCTACTGTGGGTTTTTGG